TGATCGATTTCGATTCTAAGGGTGTTTTGGTCCTAATCAAAATTCTACCACGTAAGTTCTTTTTACTTAGGCTAGCAATTTGATTTTCAATCGACAACGTGTATGAGAATCGACAATTACATGTATTGAAAACTCGTTTTTGATATTTTTGTGATTTAAAGTATCGAAAGCAAGAAAGACGTCAAATCGAAAAGCGGAATTTTTAAAGTGCGAGACAATGTAAAGTGCTAAACCCATTAAGATTGCGTGAAAAGTAAATAGCAGGAAATCGAAACATGCGAAAATCGAAATGGACGTAATATTGAATGACTAGACATTTAGATGCGTAAATCTAATTTGACATTGAATCGAAATGACATTGAATGTAAAGTACAAAAACATGAAATTGTCGAATCGAAATTGCTCGAAAGTAAATTACCAAGGAAAATAAAGAAAGCGATAAATGTACTCCGTGAGCAGGAAATCCAGCACCGCCGTAAGCTTCATGGTGTTCGTCATTTCTCCGGTAGACTTTTCACTACCGGTTCTCGTGCTCGCCAATTTTTGCTCCCCTGTTCCTTCTTCCTTTGCTCTATTTATAGGGCATCCTTCAAACCTTCCTAAGAGCAGTTAACACGACCGCTACCACGTTCTACGTGCGTATGGCGCTTTATCTTCTATAGTTTCCCACGTTCTCATGATCTCCGACTTTTTCCCATGATTTCAAAACCGCTCTTTATACGTGCATTCGACTCACTTCCTTTCACGATTTGGCCAAAATCTCGATGTCCACATTGGTTTTCTTTACTCTCGATTTTGTATTCTTTGAGAATTTCGAATTGCTTACGATTCCTTTTTAGCCCTGGTCTTATATGACTTAGTCTTTATTTGACAACAGTCATTCGATTCTCGATTGTGCTTCTCGATGCTATATGCTACGTGTTTCTAATTGGACATCGAATGAATTTTTGTTTATCTTATCAAGTCACATTTCTTTTCCTTCGATTCCGATCGTTTTTCTCGATTTGCCACTAACAATATGATAAAAATATTGATTAATAAATAAAAAATTATAAATTATTTATATAATTAAAAATATATTTTTTAAAAATTACATATAAAAAAATTTACTGATCGAACTAAAACTCTTTATCTATTTTTTTATGAATCACAAACGATACTAGTTAAAATAAGACTGATGTATTCGTTTTGTGATATCTAATTATTTATGATCAACTTAATTAGTTATTTGAATTTAATAATTTATTAAATGTTATAAATTATTATAGATGATATATATATATATATATATATATATATATATATATATATATATATAACTCTTCGGTTATTTTTATAATTACACTTTTTTACCTAAAAATAGAATATTTAATAAATTTAAATATCTAATTTTTTTATGTATGTGTTGGATCTTATTTTATAACATTAAATTGATTTTCAGATTACCATTCTTACAAATTTGATTGGTTATTCACGAGTAAAATCAATTAAACTCAACATGTAGAGATAAGCTTCTTCAAATTTATTGGTTTGTGTCAAATTGATTATTTGAATTCAATAAAAGACTAAAGACTAGTTTTTTTTTTGGGTTAAGATAAAAATAAAAAATACATTTTTTATGTGTAATAGAACACCCAACTTAATGAATTATACAGCTTCATTACATTTTTTTAATCAAATATAAGATAAATTAATAAAAAAAAAAATAGAACATATATCAGTTTATATGGTGTGACCTTCACTCAAATGACCTCGAAGAAAACATGTGTTAATTGATGACTTTGTCTTACATGAATACATAAATAAATATACTTTAATTTTTAACAAGTCAATTATTTAATTCCTAATTTCTCAAATTAAAAAAAAAGGAAAAAAATTAATTTGTGAATTCCAGGAAAACCCTTCTGAATTCACTCACAAAATACAATAAAATATAGGGATGACAATTAAACTCGTCTCCGCCCCGAGTTTGACTGGGAAAACCCGAGTTGATCGGGGACGAGGGCGGGTTCGGGTTTTTCTCGCTTTAAAAGTCGGGGCGGGGCGGGATGGGTAATGCAATCCCCACCCCGATTCCGTCCCCGTCCCGACTTTATATTTAAATTTAAATTTTTAAATAATAATATTTTAAAAGTATTTCCTTTTCTTTTTCTATTACATATAAGGTCATTTTTTTTATATTTCACCAAATTTTTTTCTTCTACCCACTTTTTAATTTTTTTTTTAATCTTTTATATCAATTAATTTATTACATTATTTTTTCTCTTACCTTTCAATTTTTCACATCTCCTTAATCTCTCTCCATCAATTTGTTTTTTTTTTCAATCTTTTCAACCAATTTGATGAACAAAAAGTTATTTTTTTTTATTCTTTATCTTTTTCTAAATATTTTACATAAATCATAATAGTAACTAATATTATTTTATTTATAATTTATATTTATTAGGTTTTATTATGTCATATTTTTTATCTTATTATTCTTATTTATCATATATCAAATTTTATCTTAATAAAATAATTGTATTTTAAAGGATTAAATGAATTGATAATTTAAATTTTTATTACTTCGAACTAATTGAATAAGAATTAACTTTATTAAATGTTTCCTTATAAACTCGTAACATCCTGATTCTCAATACCCCTGGTTTGTTAAATTTTGACAAAATCTTTGTTAAAATTTTAATAATTAAATTATTAGGAATTGGGTAAAGAAACTGTAGAGTTTTATGTTTGTTGGATTATTAATGATTTTCTAGAATTTTTCTGGAATTTTTAGAAAATACTTAAAATTGATCCGCTTTCACGGTAACTGGACGCCTGTTAGTAATTCTATGATTTAGGGTTGAAATTGAAAGAGTATGGAATTAACAATTTTAATTGTCACATTTAGAAATTATTATTTTCTTGTATGCATTGAGTGTAGATACATTAAAAATTTATTATGTGTATAAATTGACAAGAAACATATGATGGTTGATATGGTTTGGAGCGATGTTGGAGTCTTAGGGGTTGTGGGTTCAAATCCTGGCTAGAGTAAAAAGGAAGAAAATAATGGATAACATTTTTGTAATATAATCCGCTGAGCGGATTATGTCTGTTAATCGATCAACAGTTTTTTTTAATCGAATAAAACAGAGAGTTTTGAGATCCGCTGGGCGCATCAGTAATGCGCTGAGCGGAGGCATGTAATCCGCTGGGCGCATCAGAAATGCGCTGAGCGGATTATTAGGTGAAATGTTTGACTTTAAAAAGAAAGAGTGTCATTCTGCAACCGTGCAACCTAGTTCCTCATTTCTCTCTTTCTCTCAAACGTTTTCTTACCTTCAAGCGTCATTTTGAGGGAGAAATCTTGGTTTTCTTGAGAAGCTTCATTAGATAAGTTGGTTTATCTCAATCTCCTCTACATTTCTACCGTTTTATTTTTCAAAATGGTGCATTTTCTATTTTTCTCCTCACTTGGCTCAATTTGAATGGATGTAGGAAGAAGGTTATTGTAGGTTTTACACCTAGAATACTAGAATGATGTTTAAAAT